AGAAAGAAAGAAAGAAAGAAAGAAAGAAAGAAAGAAAGAAAGAAAGAGAAAGAGAGAAAGAGAGAAAGAGAAAGAAAGAAAGAAAGAGAAAGAGAGAAAGAAAGAAAACGAAAGTATATTCCTGAACCACATGAAAACACAAAGAATCACATTCTCTACAAGTGTCCTGTGTATTTGCAAATTAACCAGTATTTCAGGTAGTCCTTAGGTATTCTAGAGTTTAGAAGAATCCTAAAAGGTTTTGCTCTGGCAAGGGCTGTGAGTAAAGCATGGCCTTTGAGGCGACGGAGGGAGATAAAGGTAGATATATAGAAACTTTATTTTAGAGAAAGGAAAAACTTCTTCAGACCACATACAAAATCAAGTAATCAACCATTCAAAGTCAGGCTTAATTTAAGAGCTTTTTTTAAAAAAACAAACAAACAATAACAACAACAAAAATGTATACTAGTGATCTTTAAAGGAAACCATGCTATCATTTGGATTATTATTCTGGATTCCAGTCAGTAGTTAGGTCATATAAGAATTATAAATTCTGTTATTGGTAATGGTTAGTTCAAAATGCATAGTCTTACCACTCAGGGAAAACAGTACTTAGATTTCAGAAGATAAAACTTTGTAATTGGGATGAAAGGAGGGTATGGAGGGTGTTCTTAAATATTTAAATGGATGTTCATGAGACAAAAGGACTAGACCTAGAAGTTATTACATTTAATTCTCACAGCAAATTGATAAGGAAAGTATTTCCATCTGATAGATGACAAAACCAAATTCACAGAAGTTCAATTCATTCATTTTATAAGTATTTATTTATAATTTTTAATATGCTTGGCATTGTAATTAGCACTGGTTATTATACTATAATGAACAAAACAGAACCTTGCCATTTTAATGGAGATGACTGGTTAGGGGGACAGGCAGAGAAATGACAAGTGAATCAACAAATAAGGATACTATTCAAACATGAGATTTTGCACAAGGAAATAATATAGAATAATATAAAATATAGCATGCAATGAAAGAGGATAACTTGAAAAGGATAAAAGTTACTTGGAATTTGTTAGGGAAGGCTTCGCTGAGGTGGTGACTTTTAATCAGAGACCTGCAAGGAGAGAATAAGCCAGCCATGGAGGAGACAAGCGAAGAGTGGCTTTTAGCAAATTAATTGCAAATGTGAAAGCTCTAACGCAGAAAAGTCGTTAATATTGTACAGGGCGCGGTGGCGCACATCTGTAATCCCAGCACTTTGGGAGGCCGAGGTGGGCAGATCACCTGAGGTCAGGAGTTTGGTACCAGCCTGGCCAACATAGTGAAACCCCATCTCTACTGAAAGTATGAAAATTAGCCAGGCATAGTGGCATGTGCCTGTACTCCCAGCTACTCAGGAGGCTGAGGCAGGAGAATCACTTGAATCCAGGAGGTGGAGGTTGTAGTGAGGAGAGATTGCGCCACTGCACTCTAGCTTGGTTGACACAGCGAGACTTCATCTCAAAAAATATATATAGCTTTTATCTATATCTATATCTATATCTATCTATAGATATATTTTAGAGCAGTGTTACTCCAAATATGGTCTGAGGATGGTTGCCCATCCAAGAAGTGTTCTTTACTAGTCTGAAGCAAAATAAGTACGTAATTGAAAATAAATGCTTACACTTTATAAGAATTTGACAGTAATTTTACATCTGTTAAATCTAATAATTTAAAAATGAATTATATTATGTCTATTATTTTATGTCATTTTTCTAGTACTTCATTTTTACTATTTAAATTGAAAAGTATTGAGCCATGTTGGGGAAAGATGGTCTTTCCATGGTCCATTAATATCTGATGTTAGAAATATTGGCAGGATCTAAAATGTGCAGAACTTTGCAGGTGCTGGTAAATAATTACCTAAGATGACACAGAAAGTGAGAGGTGGTGCCAAGATAAAATTCCAAGTCTTTCACGTCATCATCTACGTGCCTTGAGAGGCTCCCAGGCTCCCAGTATGTGCCAGAAAGCCAGTAGCCCTCAGAAAGGCCTCTACTTCATGACCATTTCTACCCTGACATCCAGTGAGTTATTATCCATCAGAAACAAAGCTTACAAATGGAATACATTTTGATCACTTGGAATTTTTGAACATGTTCCTTTACTTGTAATCTTTGGTGATTGGCTAAACCATTATTTCCTAGGATTACGTATGTCCTTTTATTTTTGTTTTGGTTCTGTTTTAGTTTTTGTTTTTTAGAGATAGCATCTTGCTATATTGCCTGGGGCTGGAGTGCAGTGGTGAGATCATAACTCACCACAGCCCCAATCTCCTGGGCTCAAGTTATCCTCATGCCTCAGCCTCCTGAGTAGCTAGGACTACAGGTGCATACTACCATGTCCAGATATTTATATTTATTTTTATGTTTTGTAGATACAAGGTCTTACTATGTTGCCCAGACTGGTCTTGAACTGGGCTAAAATGATCCTCCCACGTCGGCCTCCCAAAACACTGGACTTACAGCCATGAGCCACCGCATCCAGTCTACTTTTGTTCTTGTAAATAGTCGTAGTCCCCTCACCTCATACTGGGTCAGAAATGTCTACTTCTTTATCTTTGCCAATGAATATACACTAGAATAATTCTGTGTTTCTTAATCTTTCCATTATTTATCTTCTTAAAATATATTATGATAGAATTTATAAGTGTCCAAAGTTAATACCTTGTTTCTCTTTTATCCAGAGCCCTAAATGAGTCACACAGCACCCTGAAAGTGATTCCCTGGTCTACTTGAATTTGACACGAGAGAAAAGCAGGAGGAAAAGGGGCCATTCTCCAAAGGACCTGAAAGAGCAAAAGAGGTGGGAGCGAAAGCCTTAAGGATCCCACGACTTTTTACTGCCATCTGAGCTACTCAGTGTTTGAATCCCAAGAGGAAGTCATTTTACCTCTCAGGTCTGTTGTAGGACTTGATTTTGTAAAGCAATGCCATGTTATGTGGTTGAAAGAGCACTGGACTTAGTATCAGGAGCACTGAGCTCACAGACTGACTTGGACTCCTACTGGTGGGGACCTCTGTTAGTCACTTTACCTCATCCAAAGTATAAAGGAATTGGACCAAATAATTTACCACATAGCTCTAAAACTTAATTTAAAATGTAATTCCAGAAAAAAAAAAAAAAAAAAAGGGAATAAGCAAAGGGGAAAGAAGTGAAAGAGAGAGAGAAGAAAGAATACAGAGAGATGACCTTTTGCCTTTCTGTTGTTATATCCCTTCTTCCCATGTTCTTAGATCTATGAGTCTGTTTCCCCATCATTTGGTATCTAGTCCACTTCCTGCTTACTGCTTTGCTAATAGCTGGCCTTGCTAGAATCATTGGTTTCACTGCTGTTCTTCATGTGCTTCTATGAGATTTACTCCAACAAAAATAGGACTGAATTTATTGTGAAGTAACATTGGCAATCTTAACTTATTCATTTAACTTACCTATTTTTATAGCTGGATAAATATTGTTAGTCTTAGAATAGCTCACATTTTTTGAGAAGCATGCTTTCCCTGTCCATTTGTCTTATAAAATGACCCAGCCCTATTTTAAGTCATTCTAAATTCAGCCTCATATAATGAAAATACATTATGAAAACAGATGTTTAGGAGATTTCCTGTATAGCAGTCAGCCAATTCATATGCTTTGTCTCTGCTGACTTCTGTTGCCATGCATTAACTTTTCACAATAGCAGAGGAGGCAAATATGAGCATACAATCCCTTTGTTCTAAAGATATTGTTCCAGCTAGTGGAATGATGTTGACTCTTTAATAACCGTAAGACCAAATTAGTTGCTTTTTCAGTATCTTTTGCTTTGTCTGTGTCTATCCAGTGGCCTAGGAATTAAAGTGTAAGTTGTTTTCACTGTTATATTGGATATTTATATATATATAGAGAGAGCAAGATTTTCATGTGTTATTTAATTCTGTATTGTTTCTTATATTTGTAGTAAAATATTGAACAATTAAAAGTGTTGGCTCCAAATATTTGGCTTATGATATTCTCTTGGGAAATGTGGAAATGAATGATAATCCTTGTCTTTTCCCATGATATGTAAAACCCTCCCCTCCTCTCTATCTTCCGCCTCCTAAAAGATGAGTTGATGCTTCTGACTAATCACAAAAACACAAATCAGATGTCTGGCCAGTGTGAGCTCCTTTGAGTTGGTACCTATGTCCTTTTGACGTGACCCTATCAGCTCTGCAGCACTTCCTTATATATGTTCTTTTGATTTTGCTTTTAAATACCAACCTTTGCAGACTGATTAGCTCATATAGTTTTGAATTTAGTGGGAATCATCCCCTTGTATTTTTCTGTATTTCTAGTATCTCTGCTAAATTGGCACTAGATCAGGCAGAATGACTTAATGCAATAGTTCTCAAGCATTTTGGTCTTAGGACCGCTTTACACATTTAAAAACATCATTGGGGATCCCAAAGAGCTTTTTCTGTAATGTGAATTATATCTGTTGATATTTATCATATTTGAAATTAAAACTGATAAAATTTAAATACAAAAGTATATAACCATATATCCTACTAGCTATCAGAGTGATGACAACATCATACATCATACAGCTTCTGGAAGACTTCGGGAGCGCATTTATTAGAGAGTGAGAGCAAAAAAGTCAAATAATTTATTGGTGTTATCATGACAATAATTTTTTGATTATGTGGACCCCCTGAGATGGTCTCAGGGACAATGCTAAAGACTGCTGATTTAAAGTATAGGCAAAGAAGAAAAACACCTTATGGCAAGATGTCATGAGTCTTTTTCAAAGGAACTCCTTGCTAAACATCTGTCTTCATGGTACCTAAGCATTTCACCTTTTAACCAGGACTTTAGGCCATTGCATTACTGAGAGCTCCTCCTCAAAATGCAGAGACAGCTCAAAGACTAATTTTTATCTATTGTTAATAATTCAATTTAAATTGGCTTATTAAATGGCTTTTCAGTTACTTTTCAGGATGTTGAGATACTTGGACTTAGGATAGGTATGTTTGATGGGGAAGACTTGGGAGGTTATAGAGAGATAAAGAGGAGAAGGAAAGGGTAATTGAGAGCATGCTGAGAAGGTGGCTCCATGTAGAACACCACAGCCTTGCTTTCTCCTCCATGTCTCCTGCCCTCTCACAGTGGGGGGCTGCTCACCAGCCCTCCCATACTTACCCTAAACTTTCAACTACGGGTGCTTTTTTGTATTTGTGAATTAGAAAGAAGTAGCTTGGGCTTTGTGTAGTTAAGCAGTCCGGGAAAGTTATAAACTTTTGAGTCCCTTAGAATAATTCAATCATGTATTTCTCTTATCTGTAGAAATTTAGAAAAATTCCAGGGTAGTGCAAACCTGCTTAGAGAGAGGAGAAAACAGAAGTCTATTGTGCTTAACTGAAACTGAAACTGCAAATGAAGGGTTTTTTTGTCGTTCTATATTTTATTTTTGGTGGTTTGTATTCCTCTATCCATGACTTGTTAACAATTCATAAATCTAGGTTCAAAGAGTACAAAATCCGTATTTCTACTAGGAATCATAAGGCTTCGATTAAATAATTTTTTTTGAACTTTCTTCTATGGCTATTCTGAGCTTAGAGTATTTTATTTAATTTTTGTTGTAGAGACAGGGTCTCACTCTGTCACCCAGGCTGGAGTGCAGTGATGCCATCATAGCTCACTGCAGCCTTGAAATCCTGGATTCAGGTGATCCTCCTGCCTCAGCCTTCTGAGTAGCTAGTACTACAGGCACGCACCACCATGCCTAGCTAATTTTTTATTTTTTATTGAGATAAGGTCTTACTATGATGCCCAGGCTGGTCTCAAACTCCTGGCCTCAAACAATCCTCCTGTCTTGGCCTTAGCTGGGATTAAAGGGGTGAGTGACTTTGCTCAGCCTTTGTGTTTTAAAATAAAGCTTCTTGGCCGGGTGTGGTGGCTCACACCTGTAATCCCAGCACTTTGAGAGGCCAAGGTGGGCGGATCAGGAGATCAGGAGATAGAGACCATCCTGGCCGACATGGGGAAACCCCGTCTCTACTAAAAATACAAAAAATTAGCCGGGCGCAGTGGCAGATGCCTGTAGTCCCAGCTACTCGGGAGGTTGAGGCAGGAGAATGGCGTGAATCCGGGAGGTGGAGCTTGCAATGAGCCGAGATCTCGCCACTGCACTCCAGCCTGGGTGACAGAGTGAGTCTCCGTCTCAAAAAAATAAAATAAAAATAAAAATAAAATAAACTTCTTAAATTATTTCTTCGCAGCAGTAATATTTTTATTTTTGTTCGTTCTCAACATATTCCAGATTTGATTTCATCCTCCCCTCCACAGTTGCTCAGGCTGATTCACTTGCACAAACTTACATAGAGCAGTGATTCAATCCAAGCAAGCCAACATTCACACAGACGTCATAATCATTTGTCTTGTGAGGTCCTGAAGGTAATTAACCCCATTTTTGTAGGTGTGAAAAATGAGCCTTCATACTTTTCAGTGACTTTCTTCTGGTAGCACTGTAAATATGTTTTTGGCTGAAACTCCAACTCAGAAATCCCGGCTTCCTGTCTAGTGAACTCTCTTTTCTCCCCGCCCTGCAGTGATTTATGTCAGTCTTACTTGCCAGCATATCCTGTTTGTTCTGTCATTATATTCAGAATCCAGCTCCTACCTCTAGTCTTCCACCTGGCCCAAACCATTATTAATTTTTTCCTAGATCATTGTTATTGCTTTCTAATGAATCTTCATGCTTCTGTGTTCTTCCCCTTTTAGTCTATTTGAAACATAACTGTTCTAAAATATGTCAAGTCAAATCACATAATTTTCCTGCCTAAAATTTCCAAGTGCTTATTTCCAATTCCCATCTCACCTAGAATAGAGGCCAAAGTCTTTACATGGCTATAAGGCTCTAGACAATGGGGCTCGCTGATATTCTCTGAAATCACCTTCTACTATTCTCTCTCCTGATCACTAGTCTCCCTACTATTTCACCAACATTTCAGACATGTTTCTATCTCAGAGCCTTGGCATTTCCTCGTCTCTCTGCCTGGAATGTTTTTCCTGCTGGTACCTTCATGACTCATATGCCTTTTCCCCTGAAAAATACTCCATAGATACCCTAAAGATACTTTAATACTTTTAACAGGACTCATATTAGTCTAGATAGTGGGACACTCATCTCAGAAAGTTGGAACTCATAAAGAGAGAGAGTTGGGTGTTTCTGGAAGTAGCTTTTATGTTCCAGTGCAATTAGAGAGGTACTGAAGCCCAGCCGCTCAGGTGAAGCATTTCAATTACCACATGATTCTGGATCTGGTTGTGTTTAGCTCAGTATCTAGTAATTTCCTTAACTTATATACATGTTAGTTTATTTTCTAATAAATCAGACAATATTGTAAATGCAGTCAGCCCTCCCTATCTGTGGGTTCCATATTTGTGGAGTCAACCAATCATGGATAAAAAATATCTGAAAAAAAAAAAATACAAGAATAAAAATAAAAACAATTTAAAAACAATACAGTATAACAACTATATGTATATTATTTACATTGTAATAGGTTTATAAGTAATCTAGAGATGATTTAAAGTATGTGTGAAAATGTGCATAGGTGATATGAATATACTAGGCCATTTTATACCAGGAACTTGAGCATCTGCAGATTAGGTATCCATGGAGGTTCTGGAACCAATCTCCTGAGGATTCTGCAGGACAACTGCATCACCTTTTTAAAAAAGTCAGGTGATGGCTTTAATTAAATGATCTTAAGTTGTATATTAATTAATAGGACAGATGACTCTTAGGCAAAAGAACATCAGGAAGCACTAAAATTTCAGCAATGAATTGGAAAAACAGTGAGCAGTGCGATGGAAACACATCGATTTTACTGTGTACCTTGAAGAGTGGGTAGAATCGGCCTGTGTTTGTGCAACATAGCCTAGTGATATCTTGTAGTTTATTTCCCCTTTTCACTTGTCTCAGTGGGCCAGCGCTGTAACTACCTAAACGTTGTTGCAGTTACTCTAGGAAAGGAGAGTTTTATCTACTTCATCTTGGAGCTAACTTTAATTTCCAGAGAACTTGGAAAGAGAGAATGTATTCCTTGAGAGAACTCCAGGCCTAACAAATTGATATTGTATTTATTTGACCATGTCCTATCTTCGAAGTGTCATCAGAAGCCACCATTTGTATAAACAAAGG